AATAATAATAATAATAATAATAATAATAATAATAATAATAATAATAATAATAATGTTGGAAGGGACCTTGGAGGTCATTAGTGTTCAGGCAGGATATCATTTCAGACAAATGGCTGTCCAGTCTCTTCTTAAAAACTTCCAGTGTTGGAGCATTTACTGCTTCTGGAGGCAGGCTGTTCCACTGATTAATTGTTCTAACTGTCAGAAAGTTTCTCCTTAGTTCTAGGTTGCTTCTCTCCTTGATTAGTTTCCATCTTTTGCTTTTTGTCCTGCCTTCAAGCGCTTTGGAGAATAGCTTTCTTCTTTGGGGCAGCCCCTGAGATATTGGAACATTGCTATCATGTCCCCCCTCGTCTTCTCTTCATTAAACTAGACATACCCAATTCCAGCAACCGTTCCTTGTATGTTTCAGCCTCCAGTCCCCTGGTCATCTTTGTTGCTCCTCTCTGTACTCTTCTACCTCTGTAGAGGTACAGAGGTAGAAGAGGCTCTTCTACCTCTATAGAGGTAGAAATTGGCCAAATAAAAGAAGGAACGTTTGAACCTACGAGCTTATAAGATATCAGCTTAACTCTGCAGGCTTAGACATGGACACTGGTCACCAGATCCAATAAAAAAAAATGTAAAAGATTTATCAACAAAGGCTGCCTAGAAGAAAACAAGCCTATCTCTCTGTTTTCCTATCTTTTTCTATATTGACTTTTCATCTATGTTTAGACCCAGTTTGGTCTAGTGGTGAAGACACCTAGCTAGAAAGCAGGAGACTGTGTTGACCTAGGGGTGGAATGATAGCAGTCTTCCAGTATCTCAGGGGCTGCCACAAAGAAGAGACAGGTCAACTTATTCTCCAAAGCCCCTGAAGGTAGGAAAAGAAGCAATGGATGGAAACTAATCTAGGAGAGAAGCAACCTAGAACTAAGGAGAAACTTTCTGACAGTTAGAACAATTAATCAGTGGAATAGCCTGCCTCCAGAAGCAGTAAATGCTCCAACACTGGAAGTTTTTAAGAAGAGACTGGACAGCCATTTGTCTGAAATGATATCCTGCCTGAACACTAATGACCTCCAAGGTCCCTTCCAACATCATTATTATTATTATTATTATTATTATTATTATCATCAATCATCGCACAGTCAGCCAGATGTTCAGACTGGATTTGGTATTTTGTCTACCTATCGAGTCCTTACCCAGGACCTGGGATAGGCAGATGTGGATGTTTGATGGTATTACAGGTATCGTCGCAGGATGGAAGCAGTTCCTAATAAGGCCGCCTTTTGCAATTGACTAATAGCGAATTTGTCAATGCCAATGGTGTTCAAGTGGTGCTCCAGTTGTTTTGGGATTGCACCCAAGGAGCCTATGACTATTGGTACTACCCTTGCTTGCTTTTGCCACAGTCTTTCTATTTCTATTTGTAGGTCTTTGTATTTTGTTATCTTCTCCAGTTCTTTCTCTTCTATTCTGCTATCTCCAGGCACTGCCACGTCCACTATCCAGACTTTTTTGTCTTTCTTATCGACAATTGTTAAGTCTGGGGTGTTATGTTGCAGGTGCTTGTCTGTTTGAATTCTGAAGTCCCAGAGCAGTTTAATTTTATCATTTTCTATGACTTTCTCTATTTTATGATCCCACCAGTTTTTGCTTACAGGCAAATGATATTTTTTGCAGATCTTCCAATGCACCATTGTTGCTACTTTGTCATGTCGCTGCTTGTAATCAGTCTGTGCAATCTTCTTGCAACAGCTTACCAAGTGGTCCACTGTTTCTTCAGCTTCTTTGCATAGGCGGCACTTACTGTCTGTTGCTGTCTTCTCAATTTTGACTTTGTATGCATTTGTCCTTAAGGCTTGGTCTTGTGCAGCCAGAATTATCCCTCGGTCTCTTTCTTCAATTTTCCTGCTCTTAGCCATTGCCAGGTTTTATTATTATCTGCTTTCCCAGCTATTTTTTTCATGTATTGGCCATGTAGTGCTTTGTCTTCCCATGCCTCTATTCTGTTCTTCATTTGGTCTTTCTTGTAGGCCAGTTTGGTCTCTCCAGTAGTCAGTAAGCCTTCCTGATATACTAATTTCAGTGCATCTTCATCATTGTTCTTCAGATATTCTTCCAAAGCCATTTTTTCTTCTTCAACCATCTGATGTACTTGTAGCATTCCACGCCCACCTATTTGCCTTGGTAGATAAAGTCTATCAATGTCACTGCGTGGATGAAGGGCATGATTCATTGTCATTATTTTTCTGGTCTGCCTATCCATTGCTTTTAGTTCTGCTTGAGTCCAGTCCACTATTCCAGCTGTGTACCTAATGACTGGGATTGCCCAGGTGTTGATTGCCTTTATGGTATTTCCTCCATTGAGTTTGGATTTTAAGATCTTCTTCACTCTCTTGATGTATTCACCTCTAATCTTTTTCTTGACTTCAGTGTGCTTGATGTTGTCAGCTTGAAGGATACCCAAGTATTTGTAGTACTCTTCCTCATCCAGACTCTTAATGTTATTTTCGTGGGGCATCTTGATTCCTTCAGTTTTCACTATTTTTCCTTGTTTGATAGTAAGTGTGGCACATTTGTCCAAGCCAAACTCCATTACAATATCTTGGCTATATATACGGACAGTGTTGAGCAGCGATTCTATTTCAGATGATGTTTTTCCATACAGCTTCAGATCATCCATGTAAAGGAGGTGGGATAGTCTAGCAGATGTTTTTGATGTTTGATAACCATGTCCTGAGTTATTCAGTATTGTTGACAGAGGAAACAGTGCAATAACAAATAGTAATGGTGATAATGAATCTCCTTGAAATATTCCTCTCTTGATATTAACCTCTCCCAGCTTTCACCATTGATCTGCAACTGTGTCTTCCATTGTGCCATCGATCTTTGCACAAATTTTCTGATGTTTCTACTGACTCCTGTTATTTCTAGGCACTTGATTATCCATCATGTGGCAGAGAGTCAAATGCCTTTTTGTAGTCAATCCATGCCACATTCAGGTTGGTCTTCCTTCTCTTGCAGTTTTCCAAGATCATTTTGTCTATTAGGAGTTGATCTTTTGTTCCTCTGCTATTGGGGCGGTTTCCTTTCTGCTCAGGTGGAAAGAGATTGTTTTCAACTAGATGCTGTTGTACTGCATCAGCTACCACACCAGTTAGTAATTTGAAGTTGTTGGTAAGCAGGTAATTGGCCTGTAGTTACCTGGTGTTGCCCCTTTTGCTGGATTTTTCATTATTAGGTAGGTTTTCCCAGTTGTTAGCCACTTTTCAATTTCTCCTCCTTGTAGTATATTGTTGAACTGCTTGGCAATGAGTGGGTGTATAACAGTTAGATGTTTCAACCAAAACCCATGCAGTTCATCTTCACCTGGTGCTGACCAATTTTTGATTTTCTTTGCTCTTTTTTCTACCATTTTTGTTGTTATTACTAGTTCTTTCATTTCAACTTCTGTTTTATTTGCATCCACCTCTTTTAACCAAGCTGCATCCTTGTTGTATTTCTTTGGGTTATCCCATATCTGCTTCCAGAACTGCACTGTTTCTTCCTTGTCAGGTACTGACTGATTCCTTGCAGTTTCTCCATTGATGGATTGGTAGAAACGTTTCTGATTGGATTGAAATTGGAGGTTCTGCCTATAGTTTGCAATTCGAGCTTCATATCTACTGATTTTCCTGGCTATAGCTGTTATTTGTTGCTTTATTATTTCCAGTGCTTCCTTGATCTTCCTTGTTTCTAAGTGGTATTTCTTGATTAGGTATTCTTTGGTCTTCTTGTTCTTCAGCTTCTTTTCTTTCATCTGTTCTAGCTTGCTTGCATGTGATCTTAACTTGCTGATCTTATTTTCTAGTCTAACCTTCCATTTTTTCTGGTGCACTGTTTGTTTGTTTTTCTTTTTTGTTGATTTTACATCCCAGGTATTCTGTTATAACTGCAGCTGTGCTGTACATTAGTTGGTTTGTTTCTTGCAGTGAATTGGTGCTTATACTTGCTATTGCAGTATTTGCATCTTTTAATGCTTGTGCTAGCTGTTTCTTTGGAACAAGCTTCAATGCAGGCAGCCTTATTCTGTTGTTTTTGTGCTGTTCTAGATGCTCAATTATTCTTTGTTTCAATTCTTTTATTTCTTTAGTTAGAGGGTTTTGTTCTTCCTGAGGAAGAGGTGCCTGGTTTCCAAATGAGAACAGTTGTATATCTCTACTGGATTCTTTCACTGCCAACTCCCCCTGGTTTGCCTCTACATTCTGAATTACTTCTGGTAAGGCTTTGATTTCTTTGCCCTGGGTAAACCTTTGCAGTTCGTCCAATTCTGTTTCTGTAAATACTTTATTTCGTGTTATAAATCGGCGTTGATCTGCTAGTCTCTGTTCTGTTATTTCTGATTCTGGATGTTGTTCTTTCCAGAATTGGTGCATTCGTTTTAGATATCCTCGTCTTGTTGGACTTGATCTGTAGTAACAGATCATTATTTCTTTGTTTTCCATCACTGTGTATCTGCGACGGGTAAACACCTTTTCTTCCAGTAGTTCTGCAGCCTGCTGGCCCTGGTTGCTCAGCCAACAGTCCTGAGTCCTGTAACCCATTTTTCACCAGATATCCAGGAACTCCAATATCTAGTGCGGACCTTGTTAACCCGGGCGACGTCCGAGCCGGTATGGCATTCTGAAATTTACGTCTCACCATATTTTTTATGGGAGAAATTGTGGGTGCTCCATCGCTGGAGGCTTTTAAAAAGATATTGAACAGCCATTTGTCTGAAATTGTATAGGGCCTCCGTGCTTGAGCAGGGGGTTGGACTAGAAGACCCCTAAAGTCCCTTCCAACTCTGTTCTTCTGTTAAACAGGAGAAAGAGCTGCAATCTCGACTGAATTCTAGTCCCACCAAAGGCTGGATGACTTTGAGCCAGTCAATCTCTCTCAGCTCATGACCTCAGGCTCAGCTGACAGGCTGATGAGTCAATTCTTGTCACAACCAATGAATCAACACTGAGTTAATCTGGGGGGGGGGGGGAAAGATCCTGTACTCAGCTAAGTAAATAAATCAGTACAGCATCCAAATATGAACCGTGGGAATATTGGTGCTTTACGTTAATTAATTTCTTACTGGAAACAGACCAGCATCAGAAATGAAGCCCGACAGCATTGCTAATGCTGGCATTAGGGATATTTGAGGGATATTTGGGGCTAAATCTCCAGGTCCCCTATCCACAGTCCCCTCAACCACAAGTTCACTGCAAAGGAGCCACCGCCAGCCTTAAGCAGGCAGACCAAGACTGGAAACTTTTAAAAGTTTGTGTGGTTAAAGAGACGGTCTAGTGGTTCAGACTAGGCTAATTCTAGTCTCGCCTTAGGCATGAAAGCCGGCTGGGTGACTTTGAGTGACTTTCTTAGCCTGTGATGATGACAACAAGCCGGTTGGTCAATTCCTGTTGCAATCAATGGATCAACAGTCAACTGATTTGGAAAAAAAAAACAACAAAGCCCAGAATCTTATTGTTGTAGGAAAACACCAGGAAGGAAAAGAAACGGAGGTGGGAATCAGATCCCTCTGTTGTCCTAGTTGTCTGATCTGGCTCCTGGGCCAGCTGCAACCAAATCTGGGGCTCGGGACTCTCCAAGGTTTTTCTTACAGAAACCTCTGGACTTACACAGCTTGGCAGAGAACTGGCGTGCTCTGGCCCCACCTGGAATCCGTGCCTGAGTGGTGAGCCTTCACCTGACCCAGGTGCCTGGGCGGGGCTTGGGAACTCAAGGAAAAGGGGTGGAGGGGAATGGAGGGGGCTGGACCCGCTGCTCTGCCAGCCTGTTTTTCTGGGGAAAGGCTCAGCTGGAGCAGGTAGAAGGAAGTCTCTCCAGGATTTGGATGGGGTCTGCAACCCCCGTGAGCCCCACTTAAAACTCCTCGGAGCCAGCCTCTTTTGAGGAAGATGGTGACCAGGCCGGGAAACAACTGAGCAACATGGCTGTGAGGTTTGAG